TGTTATATAATAGTATCGCTATGGAGTATAAATATTTAATGTATGAATGTGTGTTTGCTTATATATACGTGTATATATATGATCTTGTAACATTAGGTACATTGGAAGATGCGCGAAACTTTGGAATGGCATTTTTCCATGAATAATACGATATTACAGAAGAGACTATGACAGAACAATGCCAAAAAATTAAAAGGCAATGAAGAGGCTATACTTACAAATAACATTGATCACTAATACACATACACATACACACATGCTTTCACTCGCATATCAGGTATAAATCCAATCGCAATAGCACATTTTTCATTCAAAATTGAATAAAAATTTTGGGGTGTCGTTATAAAGAGAAGATCTTAAGGCGACAATGGATTTAGCTCTGAGAAAAATGATTTAGTATCTGTAAAGACGTTTGAATTTGAAAAATTTTGGAAAGAAAAAGTATATTTAATTTTCCATCCGTTATTGTTATATGATGTAAAAATATTACAAATAAAAAGTTTGCGACGGATTCTAAATGTAGGTCTTCAAAGTTTCTGCCCAGGCAGAATGTTGCGCGACTTTTCATCACAAAGTTACATGAGTTCGAAAATTAACAATTTTAAGTTATAATACATTAATTTTGAGGAGTGATGTAGATTCATAATTACTAAATTTTTATTAGCAAAAACCAGATTTTATAAATTGTTAATGGAACCTATAGTAAAAAATACTATCGAAAGTCGTTACAGTATTAAACTTCTTCTGTTTAATTATAAAATGACCTAAAAATCATAATTCCAATGAAAACATACTCATGATTAGACTACGAATGTTTATGTATATTTCAATAACATACAGTAATAGGTATACGTATACAATAAGTGATAACTAGACTATAGATTTTTATGAATTTTTAAATTTATATAAACATAGATAGAAATTTATTTCATTCTTGAAAAATATTATAATAAATTTTAATGAATACTTTGGATATTTTACATATTTGTGTATATTATGTGCATTGTATGTACCTTTGTGCCTTCAAATCATTTTCTGCATAAAAACATAATACACTTAATAAATGCAACAAAATTTTATTTACAATTATTTCTCTAATTATGTTCATAAAAATGTAAAAAGCCCTGTTTATCATGCAGTCTGTTTATCATACATTTCTATTATAATCTTTAAATATATTACACGTTATACAAAAATTTCATAAATCTTTACGTTTCATCAAATTGTTCTATTCGATCGGTTTGTATTTTATCTCAATTGAAGTTTGTTACAAAAATTGAAAAAATTTACATAAATTCTGTGCAGTCATAATTACACAGAATAGTCAAATTTTTTTTAAAATGGAGATGATTTGCTAGTTAGTCGGTAACCTGTCGGAATATACAAAAACTAACTAAACTAAAAAAGCTAGAAGATGTGAATCACAAATGAAATTTATTGCCATAATTTCGCGCATATCATAAAGCAAAATCCTTATGCATTCACAATGAATGATTGTAAAATAGAGTAATAGCCACGTTCTATCCTTTCATTGTCCATCGAAACAGGTTTGTGGGAAAAGATATTTCGTTCAATCAGCTCTAAATGTTTTTTCTTCTTCATTGGGGAGAGATTTTTTTATCAGATTTTTATACAATCACAATTTTGTTGACGTGTTAGATAAAAAATTAGAATTAATTTAGAAATATTATTAATTTTATAAAAAATTTCAATTAATTATGTATATATGTTTTATTAAATATATATATATATATATATATATATATATATATATATATATATTGACATACATAAATATTTACATATATATATATTTTTAATATTAATAATATTATATATAATATATATTATATATTACTATTATAAAATATTAATTATATAAATATATATTTAAAATAGAAATTTTCTCTAGAGGAACAATTTAAACTTTCTGTAAAAGTAAAACTTACGCCTTTAAAATGTATGCCTTTTATAAATGTAATTTATTCATGAAAAATACTGTTTTTTATCAGAAAGATTCTAATATTGTAATAGACATACTTCTTCATTTAAAATCATTATAAAATGATCCGGATGCTCCAGAAAATACCTGCCGCGAACAGGGAAGGCGACGACCACGGCGTACTATCACTGCGGAAAGTACAGGAACACGGCGTAGCATACGATATCCTGAGGATTTTCACCTACTATGAATGCATCATTTGTTCGTAATGAAAATTGAAAAAAATTTCTCACCGCCAGCGGTCCTGAGAGCCACAAGCTCTCCTTCGAACAAGTAATGCTTTAGAGAGAGAGACAGAGAGAGAGAGAGAGAGAGAGAGAGAGAGAGAGAGAGAGAGAGAGAAAGAGAGAGATACTATGCCAAAATTTAGTGGGCGAGTTTGGGATTTCTTTCTTTTTATCCAGGAACGGGATGTGAAATCAGAAATATAATCATCCTCCAGCAGTTTGGTTCAGAAAGAAATAATTCAAGCATCCAACAGCGGGTTATGGAACATACATCTTCGAGATAAACAAAAACAAAGTAACACAACTTATCTTCCTAGATTTAGAAAAACCCTTTGATTCAGTCTGGCACATCGCTTTTCTAGTGCAACTGCAAGGAATAAATAATTCACCCCACAGGTCTAGCTGTCAACTGGCTGTTAGTCTCCTCAGACTAATACCTACAAAACAGGTCCTCCCTCAACCATCAAAACCGTCGCTGCGGGAGTACCGCAATGTTTCATACTCGGCTCCCTACTATTCATAATTTACATAAACGACATTTCCACTCAAAATTCCTACTTAGCCGTCTACGCAGACGACACCGCCATCTTCGCCTCATCGCGAAATCACACAAACCAAGTACATTCAAGCACACTTTGTTTAACTCCAAGATTACTTCACAAACTGAAAATTAGAACTCAACCCAGTCAAAACGCAAGCAATTGCCTTCACATATAAGAGATCTAAACCCACAAATCAAGTCTCCATTGCAGGACACAACATCCCTTGGTCCCTCACGGTACCTTGGCAGACTACTAAATGTTAAAGTCGCCTGGGCCACAACTACTAAAACAGAAATCTAGCTTTTCCTGCACTCAGAAGACTATACTCGCTATTCCACAGAACATCTCAAAACAAATATAAAACTAAAACTATATGAGATGTCCGTTAAGCCGATAATATCATACGGCCATAAAATCTGGGCTGCAACAGCAAAATTACACATTAGTAAGATTCAAATAATCCAAAATAAATTCCTATGTATCATCCTCAACAAACCGCATACTACAAGAAGGAGCAAACATTCAAACAATTCAGGATTACTTTTCAAACTCACTTGAAATCTCTTATCACACAGAACATCAAAACCTACTCATCAAACAGAAAACTACAATATCAGCAACATTCTACTAAAAATCAAGGAAAAATTACGTAAATACGCAATTACCACTTCATAAGACCCGAACATGATCAAAAGCCAAAAATAGAAACTAATAATAATATGCAGGTGTTTTGAAATTTTTCCTGCTCACCTAGTAACACGCAAACATAAAATCACACTACCTCTCCTGAGAAGCATTCACCCAACAAATACATCTTTTATGCAGGTTAAAGGGCCACCAAACCCCAGGCACTCCTGGCACTGCAATCAACCACAAGCAAAAAAAAAAAAAAAAAACATGAATTCAAACATTAAATTAATCACGTTTAAAGACGTTTAACGACAGAATCGCAAATAAAATCACATGAATAGAAAGTATAAATTAATCAATTTACAAGGTAATGGTTATTATTAGTTATCAATCGTCTCCGAAAGCAATTAAATTTTCAATTAAAGTTAATCAATATCTGAAGCACTCTGGCTTCTTTTAGTCCAGTAAACAAGGTTTAACATATAGGTTTAACATATAGTTTCAAGAGACAAACAATTGTTAATCAATTAATGGTAGTCAATTATCCTGTGCAAAATTGGAAGAAATGCTATTTTATACAGATAAATAAGTATATATTCTCAACAAATTATTTTACGCAAAAGAAACAAATCACATGTTTCATATCTACAAACTAATTAACATCAATTTGTTTGTTAACACTATTTCTACCAACCGGATCAAGTGATGTTTTTTGAAATTTTGAATTAAAATTATTCTCTACGGTTGAATATTTTATCGCAATTGACTTTACGGTTTTCGATTATAGAATTAATTACCTACGACTATAATGATTATAAAATTAATTTAATAATATCTGTTCTGGCGCAGAACAGAACCTTTAGAGGCGTCAGCCAGGTCAATTTCTATGAAGACTCGACCCTGCCGAGAATTGCCAGATGTCCTAACATACCTCTCACCTAAGGACACTTTCTCTGGCCTTGGAGGGAGCGACAGTATGTGGAAAGGCTCGGTAGGGCATAAACAAAGCCTAGCCTAGGAAACAAGGTGCTTTGGCCGGCTCCAGAAAGTCGCATACCAATTCTAAAAAGACGTAGATTTACGTAGCGAACAGACTTCATTGGGGCAGTAACAAGCCGTCCGTCAGAGGAGTGACTCCGCGTCAGTCATGAGGAGAGCTAGCGTGCACTCCCCGACTCATAACACACAACACATTCATACAACAATCAACATTTGTACAATAATAAAATATAAGTATTTTATTCTACATCTCGTCCTCATTCATAAAAACATCTCTCCGGCGGCTGTAAAAGGCACGACGAGAGAAAGCCCAGAGAAGCGGATAGCAACTATCGTTCGCCGTCACGCTGCGCCGTAACAATATCTATTTCACTTCACCTCTTCCTAGATCTGCAGCATATTTATATAGTATAAACGTGGAAAAAATAATCTATCTAACTGGTATGAAACAGTTTTAAGGCGTAAAACGTATGATGGTATATGATGTACAATTGCTTTCAATTCACAATTTTATCGAAAGATAGCTCACGCAAAATACACTTTCTCGCTAGAGCTTTGGCAATTAGAAATATTAAACAGAAAAGAAAAACATTATTAATTATCGCTTCTCGGCTCAATGAGCTAAGATTGTGGTGTAAGACTTTTCTTATCAGCTTAGTATCTGATACGTCCTCCATGGGAGGGTCAGAATATTAACTTGATTTTTGAGATTTGGCAGAGGTCTGGAGCTTGCTTCGACTCAGCCACGAGTTAATCCGACTTTGCAGTGCCGCTGGGATTGGCCTGATAAGTCTCAAAAATTAGTTTCGTTTAGGCGGAAGTTTGCGGACACCCACGCGCGAAGCGGTGTCAGGCTTAAACACGTGAAGTGTTCGCGCGCGTGCTGTTTTGGAGGAGTTGGAGAGGACCGGCCTGCACCTGGTGAGATAGTAGAGCAAGGGGAAGTCTATCCCACCGAGCGAAGGAAAAAGGAGAGTTCGATGGAGAGCGCCTCAGATGGAGGTGACGGAGAGGCTCCCTCACGGGACAGCGTGTAAGTTAAGTTTAATTTCCCGCGATTACCGCTGCCGCTGTTTATAGGACACCCGGAGAACCCCCTGCTAAGCCTGTGGAAGAAGAGGGAGTCGTGAAGAACGGAACCAGGCTTGGAGAAGGAATCCGGCGCTTCCAAAGAAGACAGAAGAGGGCAGCACTACCTTGAAGAGAAATGTGTTGCTCGTAGCGAAACTCGATGAAGACTGTGTCACGGTGTGACGGTGTCGAAATGGGAGAAAAGAAAAAAAACAGCGATAAAGTGATTCTCGTCCATGGCGCAGGAACCGCACCGAAGAGAACACTTTTCAAACTTGCACTAAGTTTCCAAAAGACAAAGAAAAAGACACCTCGAAACGTTATTTTACCCAGATGTCGCTTCAATCCTTATTCCTATCCGTAGAAAAGGAGTGCAGGACGTAAATAAAAAAGATGTGGACCAAATGAAGGACAAAACTAAACTGAACTTTATTACGTTTTCCATACAGTTTTTCGCCAGAGTGTGGTAGAAAGGGATTTCCCAGAACGATGTGTCGACTGACATTTCGTGAGCTCCATACTTCCAGGCGCCAGCCGGATTCAAGTGGTCTGCGTACAACTTAAGTGTGTGGGGGTGTTGAGTGCCCCCTACAACAAACCTGCACGTGCAAACCAACGCCTAAGACAGCCGGGAGCTCACTGAGCCGAGGATTGTGCCACGCGAGGGCGGAACCGCCCTTTACCCGAAGAGAAAAGAGAAGAGCACGGCCAGCCCTCGTCGTCGCGAGAAGTGTGCTCTCGCTCAACCGAGGCTGAGCTAATGAACTTTGACTCTTAACTGTGTCTTCGCCCATATCTAAATAATTCGACTCTAGTTCACCTGAGTTAATTATCGTTATTTTTTTCTATTCTATACTGACTGTCAGATCCTCTCTTTTATCTCTTAACGCAATTACAACTGTTACAACTGTTACATATATTAATTCTAAATAAGCATCCACTTGGCCCCAGGCCGAACACAATCTTTTTACACCTTTTAGCCGCGATGCCCCTCGTCACCTCAATTTTAATTTTTTAATTTTTTCTAGACGCCGCGCCTGTAACCTTATTCGAGACCAATTCTCGTCATAGCTATCAGCCGCGCTACAAGTGAGAATGGGATTAGGAAATAGTGTACCTAATCCTACCATTCTATATTATTATATTTACCCGTTGACCCGTCATTATATCTACTCTATAACATATTGTATAACCTTATGTTTACTCACGCGTGTGGAGAGGTGCCCATGTACAGCCCTCTCCCACCTATGGCTTAAGTAACCTAAGGCCGCCTATGAAAGCCTGATGTAGCATCCCTCGGGGTACTGTCCCCGAGGGAAACAAGGCTGAAACTAAAGCACTTTTTAACGAATTTAACTATTTTTTTATTTGAATAAGTTTTAATTCCTGTATTATTGTTTGGTGAATTGAAGTTGTTTATATCTGATCTCTGATTACCTTCTACTTTCGAATCTATTTTTGCTATGAATGCAGGTTTTAGTCTTTCTATTGAAACAATTTTTTCTATCAACGATTACAATAAATCTTCGATCATCTTGTCTTTGTTTTACTTTATGTGAACCTGAGTACGGTAATCTTAATGATGATCATACTTCGTCGGATCATAAATTCATAGCACATATATATTTTTATGAATAAACATATTATTTTTGATATGATGAGCTGTTGATCTGATGAAGTTGGTTTGAATTTTCGCATTATTACTCATTATATTATGTTTTTTTATATTACGATGATAAAAATTTCTGTATCTAACATTGAATCTAAAGAATGAAAAAAATCTCCGGGAATTCGAATTGTATTTCCAAATAACATTTCAGCTAGGATGCCTCAATATCTTCTTTAGAAGTTGTTTTTAATTCTAAAAGTACATCGATCCATAGAATTTCTGAATTGCACATTAATGCTGTTTAAGTTCAGTGTCATCTTTCAATTAAATCATTGGACACGGATGATAATGTGTAGTTCGAATTCTTTTCGATCCAGAAGTATTGGCAAGTACTATAAACATTGTGCTTTCAAATTGAGATTCTTGGTCTGTTGTTACGGTTAATGTGCCAAAGAGACTAATTCATTCTTTGAAAAGTGCATTTGTAATTTTATTTGCTTCAATATTTTTTAACGGTACAGCCATCGGTAGTCTAGAAAATCTATCTATAATTGTTAAACAATATTTATGACCAGTACTGTTCCGACGGTTGAAGCGATAGGACGTAATTAATAATAGCTCGTACAGCGGACGTGTGTCGTGAATACGTAAGATAGTGAATGCTAGTGAATGTGTCGTATTGACAACAGAGTAGTAGTAGTGACACATACACTCCTACAGAACTCCTGACGATATACGTAGTCTGTGCGTATCACCATGCCAGAGATGGAGAATCAATACAGTGTTACATTTGAATTCCAGAATCCTAACCAAGCCGACAGAAATCAAAATACCCAAATGGAAATTAGCTAAAGTATCCCAAAAAACAATACGACCGAACCCAAAACCTCTTACGCCAATGTTACAAAACAAGAATTCATTCCATCCCAAGATCAAGCCATTATTTTGCAATCTGTTGATCGTATTACCATTAAAGAATACGCCCGAGCAATTGCAAACATAATAAGACTTAAAGCTATTAAATTCTTATCAAGGATTTCAAACGATAGAATATGTATGTATTTAGATAGCAAAGAAACGGTCACAAGCCTAACATCTAAATATAAAACGGTAGTAGTAAATAATAAAAACATAGAAATCCGCCAGATGGTGTTACCGGCCTAACGAATTATATTGTCAAATATCGCACCTATAATTCCCAATTCAGTAATCGAAAATATGTTCAAAAGTAATAACATCAAATTATATTCAAAAATAACTCCATTAAAAGCAGGAATCACCGATCCAGATCTGGCCAATATATTAAGTTTTAGAAGGCAGGTTTATGTAGATCCAGAAAAGAGAATCCCGAGCTTCTTTCCTTAAGTTAGAAACTAACACTTTTAGAATATTCGTTGCCACAGAGAAACATACATGTTTTAATTGCAACCAAGAAGGACACACTGCTAATCATTGTCCAAACAACGCAAACTCAAACGTATCCATCTTTCAAATAAATCCAAATTCCTCTCCATCCTCCCATATCGACGATCTTCCAAAAGAAGCGAAACCAGAAACCCTGAACACAATCAAACTCATAAAACTAACAACCCAAGGCTCTCTTAACGCAATCCAACAAAAGGAAATAACAATAGAAGAGACAAATGCAAATAAAATAAGAAACAAGAGACCGCTATCCACAACATCAAAAGAAAGCATTGCAAATCCGGCAAATCCAAGCGACATATATATACATTTCAAGACCCAAAATCTACCAAAAAAATCACATAAGAAGACTAATCCAATTTCTAAGAAACCTAAACGTCCCCTATTTTCCGCATTTACTCTGGATAAAATTGATGATATACTAGAATCAGCCAAAAACTACATTGAAGATAAAAACTACAACCACATACTAAATTATGTTCAGTTTAAAAGTTTCCTGAAAAATGCGATTACAGCACCAAACCCGATAGAAATCGCAAAAATATACACGACCAATACCTTAGCTCTGTCCGAAATACTAATAAAGATTCATCCCTTACTCAAAGACCGCAGCTGGAAAAATAGAATACATAAACTCCACAAAAAAATAACCCAGGACCCATCAAATAAATCAATTACTAGTTGGTCATCAGTAATAAAGAGTGACTCCTCTTAAATACAAATGAAACATATAATTCAGTGGAACATAAACGGCTTTTTCACACACTACGAAGAACTTCAGAAGATACTTCTAAAAGAATATGACCCAATTATTCTTTGCCTGCAAGAAACAAACTTTAAGAAACACCAACATCCGGGACTTAAAAAATACACTACGTTCAGCAAAAACAGAGATTACGAAGATCACGCAAGCATCATCTAAGATCAATCCATCATCTGCTATTTGAATGCAAGTACCACGCTCAAAGGAAAAAATACAAATTAACTTCACCGGCAGCCCTGACGTAGCAAAAACACACAGAAAATGTCCTGAATTATCTAAAGGAAACTAACATCTACCATAAGATATAATCATCTAGAAAAGAAGGAAACAGTACCGTCGCTAATGACCAGAAGGTAGATGCGACGTTAACCATAAATTAAAAAAAAAATATCTATGATTTCTCACCTCGGGCATGTGAATTATTTCTAAATGTACATATGTGATCAAATCTATTATTTGGTATATTAATTTTAATCCTTTGGTTACGGCAGACTTTGAGACGTATGTATGTACTGGCCGTACGGTGGGAATTCTATCGCGACCTACACCGATAACTGGAAAATTTTTCGTTAGACGTGCATTTCTAAGAAAATATATTAAAATAATCAAGATACTGAATTCCACTACATTAAACCAATATTATTTATTTATTTGTATTATGCATTAAATTGTTAGTACACACACTAAAAACTTAACATTAACATTAAACTTTCTTTCATAATGTATGTATATATAATAATTTAGTACAGTGTGGTACAATTCGATAAAATACACCGGGCACCTAAACGCCTTTCAGCCGATTAAAGTGGGTTGAGCGACTACAGGTATCATAAGAGCAATTTTTTTAAACTCCTTTAGGCACCTATAGAATCACTAAATCAAATAATCACTAAAATCAAATTTACTAAACGTCTTTAGGCGTCA